CACCATGGAAAGAAATAATGCGTTTTGGGAAAATAGGTAAATTAGGTCCCCGATATATTGGTCCATTTGAAGTAGCAGAAAGAATTGGACCAGTGGCATACAAGTTAAAATTGCCACAAGAACTAAGCGCCATCCATGATAATTCCATGTATCAAACCTCAAAAAGTGCTTAACCAATAAAATGCTAGTCATTCCATTGGAAGATGTGCAAATTAACGATCATTTGCGCTTCATTGAGCAACCAATAGAAATCATGGATAGAGAAGTCAAGCAGTTGAGGCGTAGCAAGATCCCGATTATAAAAGTTCATTGGACCTCAAGGCATGGAACGGAGTATACGTGGAAAAGAGAAGATTTTATGAAAAACAAGTATCCCCACTTGTTCTCAGAACGGGTCTAAAACTAGGAACAGACGAATAAAATTTTGGGACAAAATTCTTCCGGCATGGGGAGACTGTGACATCCGTCATTTTCGGAGCGTCAGGTTAGCATCTTTATAGGGTTTCTATATTTAGGATTATAATTTATTATGGTCTAGTCATGTTGATTAGAATTCATCTGGCTTAGTTCCCAAATTATAGTTCAGAAAACCTTGTCTCGATGGATAACTGATAAAGATAACTTATGTAATGCCAAATACATTAAAATTCTCCAAACATAATATAGTTGATATTATAAAATCCAAAATAAAAATATAAAAGTCTCATTTGAATGTACAAATAATTTCATAAAATTTGGAACTTTGATTTAATAAAGAATAATTTTATCGATATTTGTTAAAAGTGTATTTAAGTGAACATTTAAATGGGCTTTATCTTTATAAGAAAATAAAAATAAAAATATGATGAATTGGGCCTTGTAAGGACCGGCCCCTTTAACCACATATAAAAACCCCACTTCTTTTGAAATCTTTCATTTCACTTTCACATTACTCCTTTCTCTCTCTAAAAACTCTTAGTCTTCCACTCCAGTCGAATCCATCTACCAAAACCCTCTTAAATTCCATAAATCTTGAAGAACATTCAAGTCTTCAAGAAAAAACGAGCAAAAAGGTAATAGACTAGTTTTATCATCTATGTATCTTTTTCAACATTATTTCTCGTCTCTTTCACATTTTTTCTTTCTGTTCAAACATTCTGGAGAATCTAAGATGGGAGATTATTCATCAAAGACATGAAAATGTCCCCAAGATGGTGATAATCTATGATATACAAATTTAGAACTCAAGAAAATGGAGTAAAACCACATTGCATGTGGAATTTAACCATTAAAAGTGACATTTTGGAACTGACAGATAGCTTTCTAGCAATTGTGTCATTTGTATCTTCTACAATAAAATTCCAAATGCTCTGATTTTTCTTCTAAAATGTACGTTGTTGAGTTATGGTTTTTTCCCAACTTGAATTGTGTAAAAAGGAGGAGTTTTGACCCTCCAATCATTTATAACAAATTAAGTATGCAACAGTATCTTCAACAGTCGGTAAATCTTACTTTGAACATACATAACTCCTTCAAAATTCATCCAAAATATTTGATTTCTCTTCTGGAGTAGAGTTGTTGTTCTATTGTTTTTAGTTTCACTCAAAAATATTGAGTTTTGAGCATTCAAATGCTTAATATAAAACTTTGGTGCAAACTGATGCTGCTGGACAGAAACGTACATGCATGTTCAAAGTGTCATAGCTCTCTCAAAAATTAATGAAAACGTGTAATTCTTCTTCTGGAAGTTGGATTAATGAGTTAAGTTTACAACTCAAGTGAAATCATTGAAAAACGTTAAGTTTAGACCTTCCATTTGACCTCAGATTTGACAGAACGCAATCTGTCCAAATTGCTTTGACATGTGAAAATGAGTTGGACATTTGAATTACTAAAACACTCCCAAAATGTGTGGAATTTGGAAAGAAATTGTCTAACACAGTAACATTTGTGGTATAAAATTTGGACACAAAATGACTTATGGAAGGTTCCTTTTGACAATGATTGGTGAAACCAAAATTCCAGAACAAAACTTACATTTCTATCCAAGTGGTAACTTTTGTGCAAAAGCCTTTGATTTTAAAATACATAAATATTGGACTATTTTTTTAAGAACAATTAATAAGTATCAACTTTAGATCCATAAGAACTCATTGGCATTACATAAGATATAATTTGGGCATTCAAAGAAGAAATGGCATCAAGCTCATGAATTCCCGAGGTAGATTTAGAAACAACAACACGAGGGTTAGACCATTTAGTATTATTATTAGAAATTCGTTCCAAAATATCATACCCCTCGTTGTAGGTTTTAGCTGTGAAAGCGCCACCGGGAAGTCCACTGTAAAAGGTTTCCAATTGAATACAATAAGGGATTCCATGATGAGGACACTTCCGTAAAAGGTCCTTGAATCTCTCCCATGCATCCGATACCGCTTCATCTTCTTCTTGGCGAAACGTCATAATTTTATTTCTAATTTTTACATTCCTCGTTGGAGGATAGTTTTTTTTTAGAAATTTTTCCGCCAAATCATTCCAAGTAAGGATCGAGTTTGGTGGTTGGGAATTTAGCCATGCTCTAGCTCTATCCTTCAATGTGTAAAGAAAAAGCGTCAAGCGTAAGGCCTCTTGTGTAACTTCAGGAATTTTAAAATGATCCGTCATTTCTATAAAAGATTTCAAATGAGAGTGCGGATCTTCCGAAGATAATCCCCCAAACTGACCCATTGCGGAAATCATTTGAAACATTACCGACTTGGGTTCAAAAGATGTTGCTATCATTTTGGGCCTACTGATAACTCTCAATTTGTGAGAGTTATTTTTTGTTCGGTACCCCTATTTTATTGTGTCTTTGGTACCCATTTTGCTCTTATCCTGTATTTTTGGTCCAAAATATGTTAAGAGGTGATGAAAGGTCAAGAATTTGATTATTTTCTGAAAACCCCTTGCTGTTGGTATAATGCCCACTTTCTGCTCACATTCTTCCTATGACATATTTTTCTCAAGACGGATTTAGACAAAATTTAAATACTGGCTGTCCTGGGTATTAATGGGATTTAATTCTGAAGTCAGATCCGAAATTCTTGAATTATTTAGAAGAATGGGTCTTGTTGGATTAAAAAATGTCATAAAAGTAACCCTACCATTATTTTAATGAATAGACTTTAATTACATTTTCCTTAATTTAAGGGTTAGGTAATTTTACTTTTTTTCAACCTTTCATGGAAAAGTGACAAGGCTTGTAAAGTAGATAAGAAGTGATGGGGGGTCTTTACCCTCTAGTCGATGAAGACTTTCTTCCTTTGGGCGAAGAGTTTGTCCGGTTCTCACTTTTTCACTATATATTGAAGCTTTTCTCTCATTTGGAAGACATTCAATCCATCAATAATTCAGCCAAGCAACCTTGGAGCATCCTCTCAAGCTCTACAGCAGTAGAGCAAGTTTAATTTCTGCTTTTAATTTTATTTTCGTATTTAGTCTTTAATTCTCGCCACTGTGTATTGTATGCTCCCTGTGGCCAACAGTTTAAGTGTTATTTTTAGTTTAAGTATTTCTTATGCATTTTTCTTTTTCTGTTTCCTCTATGCTTTTAATTTTATTATGAGCTAAGCACCCCTTTGGGTGTGGGTGTGAGTCAAACTTAAGAATTTAAAGGCGCACTTGGGTGTTGCCAATTTTATTGATTCTTAAGCTTGGTCATTTAAGTCGGGACTTAAGCTCAATGCAGATAAGCTGATCATTTTGAAGTGTTAATATTAGATCCTTGATCCAGAGATAGGCGGATCTGAAATACGGTTTAGATGATGCACAAAGATTTGAGAGAGTCTTTGATAATAACACAGAGATGCGGGTTCTGCATGTTTTTAGCTAATGTTCATATATTAGTCGAGTTTATGCTACAAAGAGGTTTGAGTATAAATCTTCAGGCTAGTGGAACCAGATATCTTTTTATCTATTAGCTAATTCGGCAAGTCTAAGATTGATAAAACTGGACGCTTTTTGGGCACTCTATGGGCACAGTATATAAGAATTCACCTTCGAGAGATCGGAGTTCTTATAGAAGTCCCATGAGTTCCTGACCAAACTATTCCAACAATATTCTTAAGGGAAGCTTACACCCATACCCATCTTTTAATTTCATCAGGTTCATTTCGTATTTTAAAGCTTTGCACAAACAAAACTCAATTATTTTCTTCAAACCGAAACATGTTCAAAAAGTTTATGAAAGTCTCTGATTCTCAGTAAGTCCAGTCCCTGTGGAAATGATCTTGGTACTATACCACTTTATTACTTGAAGCGATCATAATGTCGGCGTGCACTTGCATCGCCACTTTGGGGACTTTGTGCCCACTGTGTGCACACTTACGATTCTAGCACCATCAAGTTTTTGACGCCGCTGCCGGGGACTGGCGCGATTTTTATCCTGAGATATTGATTTTCATTAGAGCCTTGGTCATTTGTTTCATTCGATGTTCCCGTGTTGTTGGCCACGGCTACAACACGGTGATCTTTTACCTTTTGATCTTGAGTTAGAAAGAACCTTTAGGAGACGAAGGAGAGGTAGAAACAATCGGCGAACTCCCACTATAAATCGTACCATGGGGGATAATTCACCTCAGCGGGAAGCCACGGTTAACATTGCCGATGACAAAAATAGAGGCATACGAGTCTACGCAACCCCCGAATTTGGTCAATTGGCCTCGGGAATTGGTAGGCCTGAAATGACAGCAACATCTTTTGAACCCAAGCCAGTAATGTTTCAAATGATTTCCGCAATGGGTCAGTTTGGGGGATTATCTTCGGAAGATCCGCACTTTCATTTAAAATCTTTTATAGAAATGACAAATCATTTTAAAATTCTCGGAGTTACTCAGGAGGCCTTACGCTTGACTCTTTTCCTTTACACATTGAAGGATGGAGCTAGAGCATGGCAAAATTCTCAACCATCAAATTCGATCCTTACTTGGAATGATTTGGCGGAGAAATTTCTAAAAAAATACTTTCCTCCGACGAGGAATGTAAAAATTAGAAATGAAATTATGATGTTTCGCCAAAAAGAACATGAAGCGGTATCGGATGCATGAGAGAGATTCAAGGACCTTTTACAAAAGTGTCCTCACCATGGAATCCCTCATTGTATTCAATTGGAAACCTTTTATAATGGACTTTCCAGTGCCGCTAAGATTATTCTTGATGCAACGGCCGGTGGCGCTTTCACAGCTAAAACCTACAAAGAGGAGTATGACATTTTGCAACGAATTTCTAATAATAATACTGAATGGTCTAACCCTCGTGCTGTTGTTTCTAAATCTACCTCGGGAATTCATGAGCTTGATGCCATTTCTTCTTTGAATRCCCAAATTGTTGCTTTAACTAATTTGGTTAAAAACAATTTAAATTTGAATGGGGAAAAGAGTCAAGTGCAATCCATTATGTTCAATTCTTCCATGACCGAATCTTGTGTTTTATGTGGTGAAAATCATTCTTATGAGTTTTGCCCCGGAAATCCCGTTTCGGTAAATTATGTTGGGAACCATACAAGAAATAACCCATTTTCTCCTACGTACAATCCAAATTGGAGAAATCATCTGAATTTTTCATGGGCCGGAAATCCGGGACTTCAACCTCCCGGGGCAACCCAAGTCCAAAACCGACCTTCAAATCCCCCGGGATTTCATCAAGGTGGTCATCACATGCAAGGTAATCATCAAATGTACCAAAATGGACAATCTTCACAATCACATGCACCTAGGCAACAAAATGCATTGGAGGGTAATGGTTCACTCGAATATTTACTTAAAGGTTTTATAAACCAAACCAATGCCACCTTGAGGAACTTCGAGACCCAACTCGGCCAATTTGTCGCAAATTTCAAAAATAGACCTCAAGGAACCTTGCCTAGTGACACGAAAACACCTAAGGAACATGTTAAGGCTGTGACTTTAAGAAGTGATAAAAACTTGGGAGACTCTAGTGCCACAAAGGAGACACCTAGTGAACCAATTTCTCAAGAAAATATTTCACATTCTTTTGACACATCGAAATTTTCAGTTCTGTTTCCTACAGTTGAAGTAACACAGAATCCACTTTATGTTCCAGAAACAAGAGCTTTGCCCAGTTCCAACACCACCCAGTCTCCACCTGACACTACTCACAATGGGCAGAAACTGCCCACACCCCAACAGAAAAAGACTGGTCCAACAGATTTAGATCTGAGAGATTTACCTTTCCCAGGTAGGATGAAAGCCAAAAATGTGGATGTATAGTTTAAGAAGTTCTTGGACATCTTTAAGCAACTCCACATTAACATACCTTTGGTAGAAGCTCTCGAGCAAATGCCTAGCTATGTTAAATTTTTGAAAGACATCCTCGATAAAAAGAGAAGACTGAGTGAATTTGAAACCGTGACCTTGACAAAGGAATGTAGTGCCCTTCTTACTTGCAAAATTCCCCCAAAATTAAAAGACCCGGAAAGTTTCACCATCCCGTGCTCTATTAGAGGGAAAGAAGTAGGTCATGCCTTGTGTGACCTTGGGGCAAGTATAAATCTCATGCCTTTGTTCATTTTTAATCAGTTGGGAATTGGGGAAGTTTGACCTAGCACCGTGACTTTGCAACTAGCGAATAGGTCCTTGGCATATCCAGAAGGAAAAATTGAAGACATTTTGGTAAAAGTGGACAAATTTATCTTTCCAGCCGACTTTCTAGTGTTAGATTATGAAGCCGATAGGAATGTTCCGATCATCTTAGGGAGACCCTTTCTTGCTACGGGTAGAACATTGATTGACGTACAAAAGGGTGAGTTGACCATGAGAGTAAACGACCAGCAGGTGACTTTCAATGTGTTTAAGACTCTTAAGTTTAACAGTGAAATTGAGGACTGTTCGTCTATTTACTTAGAAGGTGAAGATTTAGATCTAAGTTTGATCGACTGTGTCCACAGTGGAGACACTGTGGGCATGGCAGAAGACATTTGTGAAGAAGACTTACTTGAGGACATAGCTGCCTTTGAACAGTTAGATTTTAAAGATATACCAACCCAAACCCCGTCCATTGTTGAAGCCCCCGATTTGGAGTTAAAGCCACTGCCTTCACATCTTAAGTATGCATATCTTATGGAGGGAGAAAAATTACCCGTGATTATTTTTTCCAACTTAAGTAGTGAACAAGAAGAAAGGTTAGTAGATTTGTTGAAAGACCACAAGAAAACYTTTGGTTGGACCATAGCTGATATTAGGGGAATAAGTCCGTCCCTTTGCCAACATAAGATCATCTTGGAAGAAAATAGTGTTGGAAAGGTACAACCTCAAAGAAGGCTAAATCYAATCATGAAAGAAGTGGTTAAGAAGGAAATCTTGAAGTGGTTAGACGCGGGTATTATATACCCCATTGCTAGTAGCGATTGGGTAAGTCCGGTACAATACGTGCCAAAGAAAGGTGGTACCACGGTAATAACCAACGACAAAAACAAACTTATCCCAACTAGGACTGTTACCGGGTGGAGGATTTGTATGGACTATAGGTAATTGAACTTAGCTACTAAGAAAGATCACTTCCCTTTGCCTTTCATAGATCAAATGATAGATCGCTTGGCCGGAAAGGAGTTTTATTGTTTTTTGGATGGGTACTCGGGATACAATAAAATCCACATTGCACCCGAAGATCAAGAGAAAACTACTTTCACTTGTCCCTTCGGAACTTTTGCTTTCCGACGTATGTCATTCGGTTTATCTAATGCTCCAGCCACTTTCCAACGATGCATGATGTCTATATTTTTGGATATGATTGAGGACACTATGGAAGTTTTTGTTGATCCCAGATCTCTCAATAACACTAATAATCAAGTTAAGAATAACCAAATTATAGTATTTTAATGAACAAAATGATGAACATTCAAGAACAATGTATGAACATTCAAAGAACAATCTTGAGTGCCAATGATTTCACTTTATTCAATATGAAAAAGCGACATTGATTACAATAGGCCTAATCACCTATTTATACTAGAAGGCTAATTAGAAGATGACTATCAAGTGAGACTATTTAGCTAATCTTCTACTAACATATAAAGTTTATCTAAACTATGGATAAGCTATAAACTAAGATAAATTTGAAATCCAGCTGTCGATTAGTTATCTCCAGTTGTGTTCTATTGGATGATGATTCAACCTTATCTTTATATCTTCATCGTATGCCTCTCGTTGAGTTGCTGAAGAAAACTCTAAGTGTTGTTGACCAGAGAGGTGATGAAGATACTCTTTCCATCGCATCTCTGGTTGATTCATCGACCCTCTTGTTGTTCTTCAGACTTGGTCAATTCTGCCTTAACATCTTCATCGGTCTTCTGGTTCTTCATCACTTATTGTTCTTCATTACTTTTACACTTATAAATTATGGGGTCTAACAATCTCCCCCTACGTAATGAAAGAACAAACAAACTAATCTATGAACAATATTGAAGAACAGAGACTAATCTAAAGAAAAGCATCAAATTCCAAATTTTCATTGG